TTACACTTTAAAGTGTAAATTTTACAGATTAAAGTGTAAATCTTACAGATTAAAGTGTAAATTTTACACTTTAAAGTGTAAAATTTACAAATTAAATTGTAAATTTTACAAATTTAAGTGTAAATTTACAGATTAAAGTGTAAATTTTACAGATTAAAGTGTAAATTTTACAGTTTTAAGTGTAAAATGTAAACATTAAAGTGTAAAATTTACACATTAAAGTGTAAAATTTACACTTTTATACACAACATGACAAAAGGTAAAGGTTTAGATTTATTAAAATGAACACATCACATAATAAATCAAATAACACTATGTACAACACAAGGTTGAGTACAAATAAATTAAAAACAAATACTGTTATAAAAATACATTACAAAAAACTTTGGCATCTTGGGGGCTGCTCTCTGATTTAAATACATAGATTAAAATATAACCTGGGGGGAGCCCAGCAGGTTATTAGTTGTTATCCCAGAACCTGGGGAGAGCCCAGCAGGTTCCTAATTAAAATTACCTGGGGGGAGCCCAGCAGGCAATCATCGATACCGAACAAAGCAATATTTTTTGGTTGTAGTCAATCAACCTGAGGGGAGCCCAGCAGGTTGATAATAATATAAGTACCTGGGGGGAGCCCGGCAGGTTACTAAATGTGAACTAAAAGCATGGTACTAATACAGTAGGTATTTCAATCAACCTAGGGGGAGCCCAGCAGGTTGATAATAATTTAAGTAGTTAAAGTACCTGGGGGGAGCCCGGCAGTTTACTTAAATGTGAACTTAAAGCATGGTAAAAATATATTAGGTATTTTGTGTGTTGAGTACACAATTTGTAAACTTTAATAATAAAGCTTCAATGAGCATTTCGCTTATTTGAATTTGGGGGTAGAAAAATTCCAAATACATGGGAATTTTAATGTCCAAAATGAACGAGTTTTAAAATTGTTAAAAAGAGTGAGAGCCAACAAAGAAATAGATGCCAAAACCAATACACTGTACAATATTTTAGAAAAAACAATACTGATCTAACAAATGGAAAAAATTGTACAAACTAAGTTCTGTTTCCACAGCACATTTTCTTTTGTGCTTCTCTAAGTACTTTTTCATCAGTTCTTATGTACCTAACATAACAATTTGATGACCAGCGTCCTAGAGTTTGTATAAGATGGTCTTCTATACCGGCTTCTGCCGCAGAAGTAGCAGCACCTATTCTAAATGAATGCCCACAATATTTAGTGTCATCATAACCTAACACAGCTATTACATGTCTTAAATATGATACAAATTGATTTCTCGACAAAGGTGAACCATCAGCATCAACAAACAGAGGTGAGTTTGGTTGAGCGCCTTGTGAAATACGTAGCTGGCAGTATTCAAGCATAATATCTACAGGTTTGGTGTGATCATTGTTAAAAACATGAATAAAGACACCTTGACGAAAAGGGTCAGTTTTTGAACATTTCAAATACAATGTATAAGACATTTTATCTCCTTTCTCTATAACATCTTTCTTACAAAGAAAATCATTGTCTACATTACTACTCTTTACAGTAATTTCTCCACAACGGAGAAATCCAAAAAATGCCATGAGAGAACAGCATGATAGCATAAGATCTACGAATGGTGAAAAAATTGAGCCATTCAACTGATTAAGCATTTGACATAATATTTGATACGTAACAGGAAATCTTTTAGGTTTTGAGACACTAGATTGAAGTCTTTTAATGCCACGTAAAATGCAGTCAAGTCTTTCATGTTGCTTTAAAGGATTACAGAGTCCAGCTTTAAGATAATGAAATCTTATGCCAGCCAAACACAGCTTAATGGAAGAAAAAGATAAGCTTAAAGAGTAATGACAATAAGATACAAATTTGATAAGAACATCTTCATTTACATCAGGTAAAGTACCCAATGGTACTGCTATACCACACAAAGTCACAAATGATAAAAAGTGTTGAATGCCCGTGGAATATGCTCTTGTTGTCTGTTGGCTAATTGCTGCATTCCATAAAGTCTTTATTTCTTCTACATTGTAATCTTGTGGTATGGAAGACAGGCTGTGGCTCGGATGTCAGCCTCCGGAGCTAGTTTGCGAAATTTGTCCATCTTCTATAATCTGCTTCCGAAGGTTCGGTGCAATTGTCTCCACGTAAGGCAGTGATTCCGCCGCATATTCATATGTGGTTCTTACTCCAATGGTCCTTGGTGATGCTTGATCAGTCCATGCCGTTGTGAGAGTGTAGTCTGATTCGCTCGTCTCTCGAGGAGTTCCGCATGATACAGGTGTATTGGCATTTCGTGGATTGGTAGTTTGAGCCCCCGACTGGCGTAATTGATCCGCGCTTCCTGCAGCCGCTGTTATTGAAGTTTGCGATCGGGCCATGGTGTTGACTCTTTCGGTTAACGAATTCATACTGCTTTGCAGGTTTTGTACAGTAGAAGTAAGGTTTCTTACCACGCCTAATAACTCTGTTCTAACGTCTTGTCCTTGGGTGGTAGAAACCGTTTCTTGCCGCGATTCCTGGGTTCCCGATGCCTGAGAAGTTCTCGATTCGTCATTTGTTACAGTTTGTTTATATAAATTCACTAATATACTTCGTCTTGTATTCTGTGGTTGTGTGATTCCTTTTAGTCTCAATTCATCTCTCAATTTTGAAACGGACCAATTTTCTGGAAGTGAATTGTCATATGTCCTAGGTTGTAGATTAACACGAGTGCGATTCCTGATAGGCGGCATTTTTTTTTCACAAGTTTACAGTCAAGGAAAAATCACAATAGATTCCGAATATCACAAAATATGTCCATAAAACTGTTGGTATCACATGACAAAATATTGGGAAAACGAAAGTAGGAAGAATCATTGGATTAAAGGCAAAATAATGACCAATTTAAAGGTACAATACTTAACACTTCGATTACAAAAGACAGACTGAGATAGCGTCCCTTTCCGCACTTCTGATTGGTTCCATCGATCACGTGGTTTTTGTTTATAAACATCCCAGGCACATGTCTACAGTTAAGTCAACGTCAAAAGTTAAGTAACATAGTTGTGTATAAACAAAAATTACATAGATTTACATTTAAAGTGTAGAAATTAAAAAAAAGTGAAGTGTCCAAGTGGCACTAATACGCTTCCGTAATTTACAGACAGAGAGCAACACAAAGACGTATTTCTACCCAAACAATGAAAATGTCATGAAGCTAATATCAAAGCTTGCCGACCAGCTGTACGTTCTGGTTTAAAGAATCGCAGACATCGACTAAAATGGGCTTGTTCGTCATAGTTATCCACTGGTTAAGAGACCCCCCTCTGTCGAATGGCTAACTTAAGCCAATATTTAACCACTGGATAGCAAAGTTAACCATTGGATAAATTTTGAGGAACAGAATTTAACCAATGGTTAAAATTTAACCACTGGATAAGAGATTTAACCAACGATTAACGCTTACCAAAGTTTGAGCAACCCAGTCCTGTTCTCTTTCAAGACGAGTCGCGATTTTGTTTTGACTTCCATGATGTATGTGATGGTGGAGGACATGTTTAAGAGCAAAGAGGGAAAACTCTGCAGGTTGTTTCATATCTAAGTATGACAAATGAAAATGAAAGTTCGGTGATGATATGGGCAGGCACAAGTAGTGACTGCAAAACTGATCTGGACATTTTTGAAGGCTACCTGATAGCTTTGAAAAACCGGAATGTTATTCCTAATACAATTGTGACGCCTATTGTAGGTAACATGGGGAATTGTTTCATCTAAATTGACGAAAATGCTCGACATCATAGAGCCTGAATCGTAATCGAGTAATTGTACAGCAAAACAATTCCGCGTAGGGACTCGCTGATTTCTTTTTCAGACCTGAACCCTAATTAACATGCATTGGACAAGTTTTACCATCGCATTTCGGCTCGTCTAACACTTTCCCAAAATTGACGAAAGCTCCAGACAGTGTTGTAGGAGGAATGACGACAGATCCCCCGGGCTAGCCTTGCGCGTCTGTGGGGCAGCCTGGATAGGCGATGTAGGGGCGTTATTGCCTTGCGGGGAGGTCATACAAAAGATCATTTTACAACCATTTTACTGGAACGTTTTGACTATTCAGCCAAAAAATATCTTATTTTCAGGTCAACATTCAACTTGACGATTTTTAGAATGACCGTAAGAGCAATTCGTAGCGTGTGTTCGAACAAACTTATCTCATTTAATGATAAATTTTCAAACTTTGAATACAAAATATGTAATGAATCTGTATTCTGTTTTCAATGTTTAAATACGCGTAAAACATATTTAATTTGATGACCCCAAACCAGAATACTTTACATCATAAATATCGTCTCGAAATTAAAGAAAATTGCATACTCACGTTTTGTTTTAAATTTGTGGTGCTTTATATGCAATTTAAACTTCTGAAATGAGGAAGAGGTTCTTTCACGTTTCCTTCTTACCAAATAATTATATCTAACGCCATTAAAATACATGCATAAGCATTTAATACTTCAAATGTGTCGTTATGATTACTCCATTGTGATATATACTTGACCATAATTGTGATGAAATAATTCTAATTTTTTGAAGATATCATCATACATTTTTACTTAGTATGCATGTTTATCTATATATAGATGTTCTCTTCTGTACATACATTTAATGACAAAACGATTTATTCTAACACAAGGAAAATATTTTTTCTGTAATATTATCTTATACATGTATTCATTTTAAAATAATGCCTCAGCATGATCTGATAATTTTCGATAGAACATTATATTTAAAAAAAAAACCACATGGTTTCTTTGCAACTCATCCGGCATTAGAAATAAATCTCACAAGACCTAAAAAAAACTGAGGCCTCTCGTCACGGTAGCCCCTCACTGCTCAATGGCCCCGAGGATCGACAAGTTAATATCTAAATTTGAAGCCCTTTACTAGTATATGGTGATTCTTTATATGGAATTTCCAGAATGGGAAATAAAAGAACATGCAATCAATCTCTCTGTACATCCAATACTTTTCTCTTTTATTCATAAAAGATAATAACTGTAGCAAAGTTATAAATATCCTTTATAAAAGGAGCTGCTCTTTAGTTTCTTCATGCCTCTGCACTACGGCGGAAAACAGAAATTTAGCTTACATCTTCCGTGCTTGAAAGGACAATTACATGTATATGAAGGAAAAGAGAAATGTCAATAATAAGTATTTTTCTTGTAGCTGTTACAATTATATATTTTTTGTTTACAACAGCCTTCTTTCTTTTTTCAGTTTTTTAATGAAATTTCTGTAGAAGGAGCAAAACTATATCTCAGTAGTTTATTTTGTGTCTTTTTTGAAGGTCTTTTTGGGTGAATTATGCTTGCCTTTGAGTAATTGTTTTCCTGTTCCTCGGTCTTTGGCTTAAAGTTTTCCAACATTTTGGACATTTCATTCATATGCTTTTTCTGTTCGAGTTTTCGTTTTGATGACATTTGACCTTTTCCAGTCATAGAGGCTTTTGGTTTTTGCATGTTTGATTTAGCAGTATGAGAATTGTTCTCTAAGCTTAAAACATCCATCTGTATTTTTGCATCCTTCTCATTAGGCGCTGAATATTCATGTACTTCTGATGAAATATCTTCGGGAAAACTACTTTGGGTTGAACATTTAGTCGCTAATTCATTGTGAGTATTGTTATCTGTGGATGTCACTTTCTGGTAAGATGTAGAATACATTCCAATATTGGACTCTTTTTCTGAAGCTACTTTAAGATTTAATGTATTGTATGGCAAAGCATCCATGTTAAGATGGCTATATATGTTTTCAGAGGTAGGCCTGCTATATGTATCAGCGTTCTTTGATATTTTACTGGCTTTTAAGGCTCCCTCGTCTGGAAAATTTTTGTTAGACTTAAGTGTTTCAGTCCGATTATTGTATTTGGAGGGAAAATGAGGTTCTTCAGATATTATGTTTTCGATATATTCTCCAAATGTTGTGTTATTCGCACTTGGATTTAATTGTGGTCTCGTGAAATTTTGATCATCTAAAATAATTAAGAAAAAGAATAATGTAAAGATATACATGTGAGCAACTATTTGAAGAGTGCATTGTCTAAGATATATGTACAGATCAAATTTGAGAATTTGAGGAAGGAAGTAGCTGTTGTTTTTACCATCACTCTGGTGTGATTTCGACCGCCTTTCGTTTCTGCGTTTCCTTTTCGAGATAACGGCTCTCAATATTATAAATAGAATAAGTAAAAATCAAAAAAATCAACAAGTAGGGAATAGAGAAACAAGTGACTTTAATTGGTCGCTTTTAATATACGAAGTGGATATATGACTTTAAACGCCTGATATCAATTGCGAGCAGATAGAAATTAATTGTAATAAAAAATAAAATAATAAAATAATTTTGCCGATAATCTTTCAAGATTATATTAATTCATAATTATAAGAAAACTACAAGTGTAGCTGATATAAGAGAAAGCCCTGTGTTATATCACTAATATACAAAAACTATTCTACATGTTTTCAATCTCTATAAATTTCCATTTGTCAATTGTTTTTGTCAATAGAAGAAAAAAATGAATGTTTAGAGTATAAACTTTTAAGTGAAAATATGGGCTGTGATAAGTAATTTAATGTTTTTAAGGTCCTTGTACTATTTAGATGTTGTCTTTAGCTGGTGTAATATGAAGAAAAGTAAGTGTAATCACTTTACTGTACCTCAGTTTACGGTGGGCTGCAAAGCCAATTACAAAACAAAGACCAGCACTTCCGGAAACAAACATGGCAACACTTAGCCAGTCAGCGTCCTCGGTAACGGTAAGTTCTATTTGGGATGATTCTGGCATAGTGGTTTCAGTAACTGTCCAAGTTACGTTATCTGAGTTCTCATCTGATATTGTACAATGTATATATAACCAAAATACAACATTTAGTAACCTAGATTTAAGCATCTCAAATGATTCCTCAGTAAATAGCTATGTTTAGACGTATAATATGTATAGCGTATATAATTTTGAATAACTTGAATCGTTATAATAATCATGTAATCAAAGATTTAACTCTTTGGAAAAAGTTTTAGATACTTGAGTTTTAGCAAGATCAAGAGCTTTTCAACTATTTCAATCATCTTCCGTAATATTTTTCCATGCAAACAGAGGCAGTTGTAATATGTTTATATCAAGAGAGAAAAAAATTTATCCAAAGAATAGAAATATATGTATATTTGTGAGGCACAAATATTTACCCTGTAAGCTTGAATTTTGTGTACATCCCGATATCTTGTCACATGGCGAGCAGTTACATTTCTCAAGACAAAATTTCCCATAACGCCCATAAGGACAAGAACTGTTACAATTGTAACTAAAGGATCCAGGCCAGCATTCTTAGTTAAAAATATAAAATATAAATTATCAGAATTTATGCTATTTATATTTAAACGTAACTTCAACATCCATGTAAAATGTGATATAATTTAGAGACTATTTACCTTCGCATTTCCTGCCAACTCTTCTGTAATTTGGGCAGCACATCAATGGATCTCTATAATAATGAAATACATTGTTTTGCGGATAAATTTCATGAAAAGTTATAATTACTGAGGAACCAATTGAAACCATTGCTTTTTTTTTTAAATAAAAACAATGAAAAGTAAAGCAATTTCACATTGACTACTCACTTCTTACAAACGCCAGTCTGTGCTTCTATTTGTGTGCAAAAATATAAGATGAGGAAACACCACAGGAATACAAAATGTAATCTCTTGTCCATTTTGCATCACCTTCATGTATGTAAATTGAGCCGACTGATCTTACACATCATATAAATTATTGTCTACAATTGAAAAAGAAGTCAATGGCTAATAAATTACAACTTATGTTTTGTTCTTTTTTTATTCAAAAGAACAACAAAATCAAATGTACTCATTGCTATTTTTGAAAAAAAAACAACACAAAAATTAATGTTCTATTTCATAAATTTTACTTAGATATTATGAAAATATAGCATTGTTAAATTATAAAAACAGAAAGAGAATAAAAGGATCCAATTATGACAAGTTCTGAATGATAAAAATGTCGCTTTTAATGACAAAGTATCTTTGAACGAGTTGAAAAACTGAAACAGTTGGTACTATGAATTGTATTGTTACAGTATTTAAAATTGAAAGTGCAATATGTGGTTTTGTTTTATCTGTTCCACAGCTTTTAACATTGCTTTTAACAAAAATCATATATAACTTAATGCTATCCAAACAATAAATTAAAATGATACGTATTATTTTTTTTTTCAAAATAAGATTTATTCAAAACTTTATTTTTGCAAAAATTATCTATACATCGTGTTCAATTTGGAACAACCTAAAAATTCAAATGAATTTTTTTACCAAATTATGGTTTTATATTTTGCGTGAGAATCATATATATGTATAACTATATATTATTTGGCTACAGAAGTTTACTGATGCGCAATGCATTTCGCTAGATGTTATTCATACCTCTATAATTACCACAATTTATTCTTTTTCAATCTTGAGATCAGTTCACCACGGGTCATTTGATTTTTAAAAAAAAAATATTTCAGCAAGAGCAGTGCCGATTTTCCTCAAAAGTCAAATACAATCTCATACAAGTACAATGAACTTGAATAACAGAAAAGTATTCTTTTAAGGAAGTTAAAAAATTGTTGAGTTCATCACACTATGATAAATAAATAACCGGTAAACTTTTTTCGGTTGTCAAACACTTGAATGTCATAAATTGTGCTTAGTGTAGTATTAAGGGGAGACGGGGCACATTTCACCTGACTCAAAAGACAGATTACGTTATAGTCGCTGCTGATTTACATATTAAAGGTTCTAAAAATCAACAGTTTTTGTGTAATTTTATTCTTAATTTGTTTTGTTTAAATATTTATTAAAAAAAAATATTTAAGAGTTTTTAAAGATCTTGCCAACATTTAGATATTGTGAAATTGGTAAATCCACACATCCCTTTTTCTTTTCCCTGCAGTCTAACGTCAGTGACGCAGTGTTTGAATTCTCAGTGCAGCGAAATCAAGCACGCAATCAGTTATATTTCATAATAAACAGGCCACAATCAATGCATCATAATAATTTTTTAAAGCATCGGAGATTCATTTTGCGTGTTTATGTTTTCGTGTGACGTCACAATTGACTTCCCGCACTCAAAAAATGTATGCGAGAAGCGTTTTTATCATGCTTACTTCTTATTCAACAATGTCCTGTGCGATACTGAGGTAAACTTCACCCTGCACTATTTATACAGTTAATCATTTCGATGAAGGATTGTCATTCAATCGTAAATTTAGCAATAGTAAATACTGACAGAATTTTTTCCAAAAATGAAATGTTTGTCGTTCAAGCTGCCTTGAAAAGTGCAGAAATTATCCCACCCAAATACATTGTGAAATTAAAAATGCTTTTAGATAATCGTAATACTATGAATATTCTGAAATATTTGAGTATATAGAACTATCTAATATATTTATTATTTGTACTTGAAAATTTTAGACTCCGTAATAAACACGAGGTATCAAAACTTCATACAGACACTATACAGGGCGATATTTGTGAGGCAATATCTATTTAAATATGTCAAGAAATCTCATGATAGGACCGTTTTAAAATGTTAAGTACATAATTAATTAGTGATATAAAAAATACAAATAAAAATTACTGACTGAAATTTTTTCAGCTCAAGGCCTCCTTAAATTACCTTTCTTATTCAGATTACATCTTATTATAAAGCCACTTGAAATTTGATCAGTACAATACCTTTAGTAAAATAATATGAAGATCTCAACCATGTTTCATCAGCTGCGTTATGCGAGGTTTTACAAACAAACTGTATAACGCAGACATGTACTTCATTTTCACATTGATTTGTTTATCTTCCTTATAAGTATGTCAAACCGGAAGGATGCGACATTGACTAAATATTATATGATTTTTTTTTATCTGAATTCTATAATTGTAGCCTTTTCTACGAAATAATTAATAATAATTATAAAGTTTTTTTTTAGCAAAAAATCGTACAATATCGTGCTCTTTACTATTATTACTGGATTTAAATAAGAGTTGTTTCTCTTTATTCTTTAGATGTTTATGTGTAATGCAGCTCATGAATATTCGCTTTCGCTCTTTCGCAGCTCATGAACTTACTCTTTGGCATGGAGTGGGAATTCAGTGTAAAATGGACCTAAGGCATGGTGTTCATGTTTGAAAGCAGTGTTAACATCTTCCCTGTCGCATCTAAAATTCTTTTCCTTGAAGAGAGAGAGAGAGAGAGAGAGAGAGAGAGAGAGAGAGCACTTGCCAGGACCTTCAGTTCGATATTCGGATATATTGAAGGCGTTATATCAATTAATAACAGATACATGTACTTTAATGCATTTATCGACTTTATGTATCCAAGTGAGTTTGAAATATAATATACCACAAGTTTACAACTTAACACTTGTTTCTTCGTTTCATTTTCTTGGTATTTATGTCCTTTATCACTTTCAAAAGGGTTTATGCCTCACTACTGCTTGATTCGATACGTAAGAGCATGCTCTTTCGCAGCACTGTTAAGGCTTACTATGAGAAATCAACGGAAAATAGAAGTGCAAAAACGGGATATTAATTGTTTTTAATACTGAATTTATTTTTATTCAGCTGTTTTATTATCATAGAACTTAAATACTTATGGAAATAGCATAGTATAACCTACTCTGTACTGTATGAAGTTTGGTCCCATCGATGGACAGTCACGAGATAAATCAATAGTACGTGTACTGAATTAACAAATTTCAATATCGCAAGGATATACCCTATTTGAAATTAAAAATTCAAGCTATTAATTGTTTCTGTATACTTTGCACTTTCGGGAAAGTGCTGCTGATTTGAATATAATTCCAGTTTTAATCGTTAAAATTTCGGTTTGTTCCCGTTTTGCACACATTTAAATTACAGTTAATTAAAAAATGTGTGAAAAACGGGAATTTTGACCAGGTGAAATAATTGCTTAATTGCTTTAGTCTATACCATACTTTGTAAGTATGACATAGTATGTATGTGAAATGTGAACTTATAGTGAAAAAATAAGTGAATAAATACAAAGTTAATGTATTTGATATTTATATATTGAGTATAATTAATTTTTATTCTATATTTTCTTTATTATTTGTTATATCTTTAATTCATTTAGAATTGTATTGAAAAGTATTCTTTTAAAAAAAAAAAAAAAATTGGACTTAATAAATAAATAATATTAAATAAATATCAATAATTTATTCGATAAAATATTTTCGCATAAATATGTATAGAATTTTTGATTAATAAAATGCTTATAAAATTGTATTAAACTTCTTAAGAATACATTAAGCTAAATCAGGTATTCACAGGTAAATCCAGGTAAATCAAAACCAGAAATCAGACTATAATTGCTATCAAAACACACCTCACAACTATTGTTCTATACCTAATTATCAAATGTGTGCAAAACGGGAACACACCAAAATTTCAAGTAAATTGGCCCATGTCGAAATATGTTTGACTTTTACCAAATATTTTGTTTACTTATAAAGTCACGCTCTCGATTTAAAGAAAGCAGCAGCACTTTTCAAGTTAAGGAACATATCCTTTATATATATTCCAAAAATGGTTAAGATTTATTAAGTGTATGCCCTTGCGAAAGAAGGATTTAATGAGGCACCTCGATGTAAAATATTCCTAACCTGAACATAAAAACACGACAAAATTATTTAAATACATTCTCTCGATAGTTAATGAATAATCGCACTAAACAAAGGATATACACTGGTATTAATAACCTATTTAAAACCTGTAAATAATATTCTGTTTTATACTAAAACGCATTTTTCTTTGTTAAAAAATTCCTAAATCTGCCTCTCACAGCACATGAAATACGTCATTTTTACCAAAATTACGTCAGATCTGTGATTTGTTTATAACCAGCTGTATGGGATTTAATTAGCAACTTTTTAAATGCATTGAAAAGTTTTATTGTTTATTATGCTAATACAGTACAGCAATTTGCAAATAATTTCATTTTTTGGCATTATGAGGAATACATATAAGTCATATTTTTGTGTGACGTCACAGTAACTTTTGCCCGTATAAATTAGGCCCGCCTCCTTTTTTCAGCCTTAACAATGCTGCGTTGCACGAACAATGATAATTGATAGGAAAATAATCAACAGTCTATGTCTAAGCTCTTCATTTTGTAAATGTATATGTATATCTTTATTTAGATGTTTTCTTCTGTACATATGTAAGTTTAATGACAAAAATATTTGCTTTGAAACCAGGAAAATATTGTTTTCTGTAAAAAAAAAAACATACATGAAACACAAGTATTTCATTTTAAAAAATACATCAGCATGATCTGATCATTTTTCGATGGAGCATTATTTAAACTGAGGCCCCTGGTCACTGTAGTCCCTCACTGATCAATGGCGCTTATGGACAAATATACACTTAACAATACTTCCAAGTGTTCACTCTAATAAATCTATCTGTTTAAAAACAACTTTATAGAATGGTATGATATTTTCAAATCAATACAACAAATGAGTCTTATAATCAATTGTTGAAAAAAAAATTAAATATTACCGATGAAAACCAATGTTCCATGACGAAGCTTAAAAACAATAAATCTCTATTTTGACGTACATATTGTCTGTAACTAGCATATTTTTGTGATCATTATCAAATTTAAAAACTGTTTTCACTAATAAACACAGAACGTTTGCAAAATGACCATTGAAAAAGAAGGGATAGCTGTCGGAATATTGATACCTGGATCATCCTCGCACCAAGATTTACTCACTTTTATTTTAGTTATTATTACTGTCCTTGATATTACTTTTAAAAATTAACAGCCAGTATCAAAAGCCGTTTAAACATATTTTTCTAAAGGATGTGCGTCATTTTCATTGCCAATTTATCACAATTTGAAAACAAAATTTAACCTAACCGGAAGTGATCTGAATCTTTGTCTGAGGCCAATGTTTTGCGTCACACCAGGTTAAAAGAGTGTTAAGTGTCCTGAAACAATTTTAGAAACATGAAAACAAACAATTTCAATCGTATGAAAATGATAAGAAAACGGTGCTCGTGGCAGTCTAATATTATCTCAAACAGTTTGAATCATCCTTAAAGTGGTGCACGTACGTGCTAAACGCCAAAGGATATTGACCTAAAGGCATCTGTGTGACGATGCACTGCTAAATCTCCGGATCAGAATCCCATTGAACACATTTGGAATTTTGATAAGGAATGTCAGAGAACCCCCCGTCCACACAATTTCAACGGTTTGGAAAGATCTAGGCAGTAGGTGTGGCATCAGATAGGTCATTATCATATTCAGAGGTACATGGTATCCAACAGTAAAGGATGTCCTGTAGTAATTAGAGCAAGTGGTCGTCTTACTCCATGGAGATTATTTTATGTGAATTTTCATTCAAAGGGTACATCATTTTTTTAATACTGTATTTGTATTACATTTGGCGTTTACGATATTTGGCGGAAATTAAATTTTCAACAAGTTAGCTTATTCCTTTAATTATTTAACACAAAAACATAGTCATCTTTTTGATATACATATCATCAAAACAATTTTTAAAGACCGTAGATTTGACTTTCTTTAGGTAGCTGGTAGTAAAAATAATCATTTAGCGCTCTCTGAATTTGCTACTTATTAAACTTAATATACAAGACATTTAGCGATGCACTTGAATTAGCGGACTCTGCTTTCCGTCAAAATCGCTAAATAGAATACACAGCTAAATGTAATACGTTTACAGTACTTTGCTCAAAATTATGACGAGATACTGATCAAGAAGATGCTTGAGTTTCTGATTGACAATTTCTATGTGGTTTTTGGAGACCAGGTTTTCCGACAATGGAATTCCAATGGGAACCAATTGCGCTCCGTAATTAACAGACATATTTTTGCATTCATATGAAGCAGAATTTATGCAAAATCTTATGCGTGAAAAGAAGAAAACGCTTGATGTGGCCTTCAACTCGACCTTAAGATATATCGACGACGTATTGTCAATTAACAATAGTAATTACCATTACTACGTCGATACGATATATCCAGGAGAGCTTGAGATAAAAGATACCACAGAGTCCGATACATCTATTTCATACTTGGCTATTTTACTTGAAAAAGACGTTAATGGTAATCTAACAAAGAAGTTATATGATAAACTTTTCTATCGTCAACTTCCCTTACTTATGCAGCAATATACCTTCATCACCTACGGAGTGTATTATATCTCAGTTTATTCGATACGCAAGAGCATGCTCTACGTATGAACAATTTCTAAAACGAAGTAAATTATTGACAAGCAAAGTAATGAGGCTAGAATATCAGCAGTCATCATTTCGTAAGTTCTATGGTCGATACAATGGCCATGTCATCAGCAAATACAATTTATCATTGAGTCAAATGCTGACTGACGTTTTTCATACCAATTGTTAGTCCATTATTTATTCACTGAATTGACGACAGATTTTCCGTTATTTCACGATCATGACAATGAACACACGAGGGTGTGTCTGGTCAGCAGGGGATGCTCACTCCTCCATGGCACCTGATCCCACCTCTGATGTTCCGGAGGTCCTTGTTTGCTCTGCTCCTATTTTGTATTGTTTTATGGACTTTGAGATTGAGTACTGTTCGGTATCTCCATATACTTCTACTTACAAATTGTACATGAAATTTACGCAACATCGAACTGAAATGTGCATTATAAACCATGGATTTATGAAGTTATTTATTGTATGCATTTATTTGTTCTTTAAATATTAAAAAGAATATTAGGTGAACACTTAGAAGTTTGGTTCAGTGTACATGTTTGAAGCCCTTTACTGGTATAT